TTGAAACTTGCTAGTGAAATAAAATAATAATGAAATACCTTATAAAACCTTAGTTATCTTCATCTTTAATTTTGGTAGCTAGGCCTCAAGATTTTTTCTTTTATGGACGAGTTTTATAACCATGAAGATTTTCTATTTTTTATATTTACATACCTTATTTTCTATTTTGTTGTCATTTTTTAAAACTCAAATTAATAATTCTAGGGAAAAAAAGAGTGAAAACTTAATTCCAATATTTCTTATCAATTTAATTACTATATATTTTTCATCACACGAATCATCCTCGTGTGGTTTATATTAATATTGTTTTAGAGAATTGTGATTCAACCTTCAATTTTCAAATATAATTTCAATTACTCACAATAAGTGAAACCATTATGTTATATAAAGTTATATACTTGTTTAAAATCCATATATATCTTAAAAAATATGTTTTAGAATGTTATCAGAGAAATTAATTAAATTATTTTATCTTAATCATCAAAACTAATTTCATCCCTTTTAATTCTTAAAGGAAAAAAATAATACTTTGGATATTTTTAAAGTTCATGTAAATACATTCCTTGCATAACTTCTTCTTACTTTTAGATTCTATAATTTCTTAATATTATTTTTAATACTTAACATTATTTAGTTCATTGTTGATGTCAACAACAAATAAAGTATTACTTAAGATCATTAAGATAGTAAAAAAAACATTTTAAGAGATAACTAGATTATTTTTAGTTGTAAAACTTAATTAAGTAATATATTTATTATATATTTGTATAAATAAGGTAATAATATATTGTTTGTTTTTAATTTTTAATATATATGAATAGTTTCTTTTCTTCCTTATAATACTATTCTTGCTTTTCAATTAACTAATCTAATTTTATCATAATGTTTTATTTAAAATTATAATTTAAATAGATGCTTGGTTATATTTCCATTCAATGTTGTCTAGGGAGAAAAAACCACTGTTTATGATATTACAAACAGTCAAAGTTAACGAATTAAAATGCAAAAAGTATTCCAAAATAAAATTGTAAAAAAATTATAAAATTAGAAAGTACTAAAAATTAAGTTTAATGAAATATTAAAAATATAAATTATATATAATTTTATTATTTATATAAAATACTTGATAAACGCATTATTGTATTGGATTATATGCTTAAAAATTATTAGCAAATATTCCAAATTTATGATATTATTCACTACCTTAATTATTTTAGTTAGTATTCTACTATTTGTTAATTAGTCATGACAATATTATAAGTGTCAAGAATATAAAATAAGTAATAAATTTAATTTTTTTACAAAGATTATAATTGAACAGAATGAACAAAAATTAAATATATTTAAACAATTTTTTTCTGTATATCCACGAAGATGTAATTGCATAAAATCATTAAATTCATTCTTGTTGTTTTATATTACTTATAAGTGTAATTTTCTTTAACAACTTTCTCATTAATTAAAATTTATTAAATATTTCAAAATTAAAAGAAAGATTCATTAAATAGAATGTAAGACCAACAAAAGTTTATCTTTTCAATAAATTTTATCAAATGAAAAATATATTTAAAAGAGTATGTCATAAAACGTGCAAAACAAACTAGTTTTGGGCTTTTTTTTTCTTTGGGCCACATCGTTCATCATCGATCCATGAATCAACCTTTAGGAAACAAGTAGAAAGAAATAATAATAATAATAATAATAATAATAATAATAATAATAATAATAATAATAATAATAATAATAATAAAAGTAAAATAAATGTGATTTGTTTAAAACAAATAAATTTCATATTATAACATGTTTATATTTTTTTTACTAAATGTTTAGTAAGATTTTATTGAATGAATTCTCTTTTAAACCATTTACTAAACACAAGTGAATTATGTCTTTTTTTTTCTTGATCATATGAAAATTTCAAAATCTTAATCAATAATCTTTTGCATACCGAGCAAACTGTTATAATTAGCCTACTTTAATAACTTATATGATGACAGATTTAAATTAAATAATAATCTAAAAATAAAAGTTTAGTAATAAATTCTATGTATAATTTGTTATTATTAATAACTATAATTAAAATTATTTTTTAACCTTATCTTTAAAAAAAATACTCCATTTTTTTCCTCTTTAGTTGTCAATTTTTAAGAAAAAAAATGATTCCATTTATATGTTATTTGTAAAGTTAATATTACATTAATATTTTTTATCAATTATATCTTTATATTTTTAATTAACTTTATTATAAATAAAAGATAAAAAAAATAGTTCCAATGATTTTTATAAAGAGAATATTTAAATAATAAGAATAGTATTAAAAAAATATTAACAAAATAATTATAAATTGTGAAAATTAATAATTTTTAAAATAAAACCTTAATTAAAAGAATTGGAAGAGTATAATATAAACATACATACTCTGCTTATTTATACATGAACTTCGTCAAAATCAACAATCAAATTAATATTTTTTAATCATGGGGCATATAAATGTGTTGTTATTTATTTATTTATTTATTGTGTTTTTCTCATTCTTGTTTTGGATTATTAGGATGGATTTCATTAATTGATTATAATTTAATTAAAGAAGAAAACCAACTTCAATAGAATCCTATTCCTTTGTCATGCAAATACCTTAAAACTCATATTTAATACAAACATTGCATAACCTTCGTACTTAGGTTGTCTTTGCTGTCTCTTGTGTTGTGTGCTTATCTTGTTGATAGGAATCTGCAATATACTCAAAAATATGTTCTGGGAAACATTATTTTTACTCATTTTAACTGTTTTTAGAAAAATAAAATTACGTTTTTAATTGTACCTGGATAATGACATAATTAGCAAAATCATGAATAATATATTGATATTATTCAAACTATAACATACTATTTTATAAAAATTTTGATATCTTTTTTATTATATATTAATTTATTATTTATTTAATTTCATACAGTGACAGTATTTCTCCTTCGCCTATTTGAAAAGAATTAAAAAAAAATCAGTTATTCTCTAAATCTAGTACAAACATTAATTATAACTGCATATTTGAAACAATGACTAACATAAATAAATTGTTTTCATGAATTTCAAAATGTGTTATGATTAAATATATGAATTATTGAAATATTATAATTTTTTGAACAAACACATCAAATGTGTGAAATTGGGTATTATGTTTTAGATAAGAAGCAGTATATTTGAACTTAAAAAATACGCATAAAATTGTAGAGTGAGAGATGCTTCTTTAAAACTTGTACTTCATTCCAAAGTCTATTTAATTTAATTTATAAAGAAATATACCAAAACAGTGGCTTGGTTAGAGCAACTTCATTAGTATTATATTGCAATGAATTTGGATTAATTAAGGTATAAATATCCAATAGTTTTTGTTCTTAACTTTTCTTAACTCTTTATAGATAATTAATAGTTAATGAAGAAAGAAGTCATTGTGGGTTAAACTCTTACACATGAACATTAATGACATTATTTTCTCTCTTCTTCTTTTTCTTTCACTAATTTCACAGACTAAGTATTATCTAGAGTGGTGGTAGAATGAAACAGAGATAAAGGAAAAAAATTTGAGGAAAAGACTATATATATATATATATATATATATATATATATATATATAAATGGATTACTATAATGTGAAATATAAGTTTTCAAAATAGAGTATATAGTTTTTACAATCAATATATTTATCATAATTTCTTGATTTCATCCAATATTTAAAGAATGTTTTCCTCTATATCCATACATGATAAAACTTGGTCAAAAGAAGATAAAATTATTAATTATTAAAAGGAATACACAGTATGAAATCCCTTCATGACAAACAAAATATATTATATCTAAGCAAAACTTTGACATTATTATTCGAATTATATACCAAGATATATTACACATATTATTAGTGAGGAAAACATAACTATAGATTAAATTTCTTTATTAGAGACAAATATATTTGAGTTGAATAAAATTAAATTGGGTAATAGTTTTTTATCCAAATTATTGATTAGTGTTATATATATGATTTAAATTGAAAAGATTAAGTTGAAATAGTTATATGTCATTTAATCCACGTGGATAGTATAATAAAAGTAATATAAAATTTCTTCCATTGTTGAACATAAGATTGGACAAGAGTTTGAGAAAATTTAGCAAAAGATCATGAAGGAAAAGTTCTAATTTTATCTTGTTTTGGAAAGCACCTCTTGAATGATTAATTAGGATAATACGTGTCATTTAATGATGGATCCTTCCCACGTGGAGACGTATACACGAATTTTATATTTCAACGTACTTGCGGTTAAATTTCATGGTCATTGAGGATGGATTTCTGATTAATTGATACGTAATTAGTTGAAAAGACATGAACTATTAATTAAATCAATTATTTAATTATATTTTGGAACAGTGATATGTTTGGTAAATTGTGGTATCCATTGCGTTTAGGGTTCTATGGATGCTGCCAAAAGAAGAAAGACACTTCACATGCCTTGTAGGAATCAAATTCTAAAAAAACTGCTTGAAAGTGATTCCTCTTTTTCTATTCCTATCATGTAAAGATAACGATTGGCCAATTATTTTTCTATTTTATTGTTTATTACAATCTCGATATTATTCCAAGTGTGTAAGTTTGACATTAATTCGTAAATTGTAATTAAAAATAATTAAGTCTTTATAATTAGCATCAATTTTAATTACTTTATTAATACCATGAATTCATTTAATTAACTATTTTTAAAGACTAAATGAATTATTTCATTTGAATACAAAATGTAATATATAAAATAATGTGTATGAATTCAATCTTTTACGTAGTTTTTTTTTTTTTTAAATAGATGATGACTCGATGTTATTTTAATCATAAAAATTTGGCTGAAAGTAGGGAGAAACCACGTTTGTATTATCTTTGCTTCATCTATAAGTAGTCAAACATTCTGAAGCTTACCTACTCCAAAACAGGACTTTCTTTCTTTGCAGTGTGAGAAAGTCCAATGGAAAAGATGATGCAACAAGAGGCTTTGCAATCCCCATGGCCATTACTTGAGGACATGAACTCAACTCTTGATCAAGGTGTTGAGTCTTATGGCTTCACTGTATTTAGTCATGCTAGTGATTATGGACACGAATTCACTATGTATGATCATGTTGGTGATTATGAACTCCATAGTCTATTGAGCACTCTAGAGGATTCCACTACTGAAATTTGTTCCATCCCCTTTTCTTCATCTCCCTTCTTATTTTCCAATGATCATATTCATACCCATTACCCAATCAATGAAGAAACCATCCAACTTCCATCACTCATGGAATTGGATGATTTTGATTCTATCTTAGATTCTCAAATTGTTAGTATTCAAGGTCATGGATACTTAGCAGAGAGTGAAGGGAGCTTTTTCCCTTCACAAAATTTGTCAAGTGAGGTGGAGAATGCTTGGAGTCCTACTCCTTCTATAAGGTCTGAGCTGTCTACAAATCAAGCATCACCATTGACTTTACCTCAAGAAAACATGGAGATTGAAAACCAATTAAGTCTTCAACACTTGTTGGAGGCCTATGGAGAGGCCTTGGAGCAAGGACAAGGATCACTAGCAGAAGTGATTTTGAGGTGCATGAGCCAGAAAGCTAGTCCATTAGGTGAGTCTCTAGAGCGCCTTGTATTCTACATGTCTCAAGGCATGACCAATCATGGAAACTATCTCAAAGGGGAGGCCTTCAAGAACCTTGAGGTTGCTTCGAGGGCACTCTATCAAGGGCTCCCAACTGGGAAAATTGCTCACTTTGCAGCTGTTTCAACAATTCTAGAAGCCATGCCGCAAGATTATTATGGTGTACACTTAGTGGAGTTTAGTATTGGAGATGGGGTTCAATGGGCTCCAATAATTGAGGCTATTGCTCACATGAACAAAACATTGAAATTGACATTAATTAAATGGGGTGATGAGGATCTTGAATGTGTTTCTAGTCCATCACAATTTGAGGAAACCAAAAGGAGACTCTATGAGCATGCCAAATCCTGTGGTTTGAAGTTTAATATAGAGGAGAAAGGAGTGGAGGAACTTGTTGCTGAGATTAAGAAAACGAACAAAATGGGTGGGAGAGGTGAGTTTTTGGCCTTTAATTTAATGACTGGTCTTCCACACATGAGAAGAGTAAGGAGCAGAAGGCAAGTCTTGCAGTTTCTAAGGGTAGCAGAGGATTTGATCAACACCTCTGGCAACAAAGGAATTATAACTTTCGGAGATGGGGGTGCTTATGAGAAAGTAAAAAATAACTCGAATTTCAGATCATTCTTTGAAGGACATTTGGTGCATTACCAGGCATTGTTAGAATCAATTGAATCACATTTCCCAACTCGTTTTATTGAAGCAAAAATTGCCATGGAGCAATTGTTTTTGCAACCTTGTATATCATCTCTTGATTGGTTACAAACATGGGAGGAGATGCACAAGGGTGGGCATGTTGAGGCAAATATTAACTTAAATGGTTGTCAATTAAGCAGAAACATTTTGATGGAAATCAGACAAGTGTTGAGAGGAAGTGAAGGTTTATATGAGGCCAAGATTGAAGGGCAAAATGACAATGAACTAGTTTTGGAGTACAAAGGAACTCAACTATTAAGATTTTCAACTTGGAAAAACTTTAGTTAGAATATCAAGAATTAAGGAGAGCACAAAACATTTTTATATGTGATATCCTAATCCGAGTTATATATATGTCTAGATGGTAGCATTTTTTCATCTGTACATACTCATGCTTCTCTCTATCCAAACAATTTATATAAAGATGTTTATTTTTTATACACTATATAATTGTTTGTTTGCAAAAGTGTGATATATACTTACACTTCAATTAAACAAAGTAAATGAAGATTGTAATGGGATAAGAGTTTTTGCTTAAGGATTAGATTTTGACATTTTATCAGACAATGAAAACAAATTCTACATAAGCATCCACCTCATCTGGACTAAGGAAATTATAATTTAGATAAGGAGACCAATTAAAAAATAAAAATAATGATTCGTTAGATTTAATTTGGAGAATTTGTGTGTTTATTTAAAAAAAAAAAGTAATTTCGTAATCAGTTGATATTTCAAAGAAAAAAAATTACACTATTTAACTTATTTTTAAAAGTCGTAAATTTGTAATTTAAAAAAAGATCACAACATTTTTAAGTAGATTAGATTATGGTGTAAATTTTTTAGAGCATGATTATTAACATTAATTTTATGTATTATACAAAATATTTAGGCTTTATTAGATATATATCTTGCAAATCTAATATATTAAATATCTTTTTAAGTTTTATGAAATTATTTATTTTAACAATTAAACTGATACGATTCCAAGTCTATACCCGATTGTTTAAAGTTATAAGTGTTAGTTACATGTAGTACTATATTGTATAAATAATAATTTATAGATAGAGTAATTTAAATCTATTTTATGTTTTTTTTTAAGTGAAACCTATTCTATATAAAAACTATTAAATAATTTTATAACTATTATAGAAATAACTAATTATGTCAATATGCTTAGTTTCCTGATAATTTCTGTTGGGACTTTAAATCATAATTTAAAAAAAAAATCTTTTTCTAACATCCCATTTTATATAAAATTCTAATATAAAATTAATTCAAAATATGTTAAATTGTATCACATTGTATGAGACAAGTGTTCTAATATATTTTTTTTAATAAATTTGGTTCGATCTGACAAAAGGTATTCATTATAGATCTAATATTATATTAAGATTTTAATATAAAACTAATTAATAATATGTAAAATAGTCTAATAATTATTTAAACTATATTATATATGACATGACACAAATTATATAACACTTTCCCCTCAGTCTATTTGTTATTTCACTTTTTAATAGAAATTGTAAGGTTGTTGGGTGAGAAATGAACTTAATCAAAATCAACAATCAAATTACTTTTCTTTGAGTATGTTGTTATTTTTATTTATTTACTTATTTATTTCTTTTGATGTTTTTCTTGTTTATGGATGATTAGGATGGATTTTTGTGCTTAGTTAATAAATCAAATTCATTAGCCTTCGGACAAAAACAATCTTTAAGACCCTTTTCATGATCATTAATGAACTAATTATTCAATTAATTAATTAATTATAGTTTATGTTAAAGAAAAAGACCAACTTCACAGAATGCTATTCCTTTGTCATGCAAATATCTTAAAACTTCATATTTAATACAAAGGTTACGTAACCACGTTGATTCATACTTTGGTTGTTTTTGCTGTGTCTTATGCGTGCTTATCTTTTAAACAGGAATCTGCAATATTCTCAAAAGCATGTTCTGGGAAAGATTATTTATACTCAAAAGCATATGTCTCTTGTGGTTATAATCAATTATCATAATATTAATAAATTACATATATAATTAATTATTGAAATATTATAATTGTTTTTTCAACTATTTTAAACACATCAAAGGTGTGTGCTGGCAATTATGTTGTAGATAAGAAGCAGTATATTTCAACTTTAAGGAAACGCGTAAAATTAGAAAACTTGTACTTCCTTCCAAATTCAATTTAATGTAATTAATTAAGAAATGTACCAAAACAGTGGCTTAGTTAGAGCAACTTCATTATTATTATATTGCAATGAATTTGAATTAATTAAGGTATAAATATCCAATAGTTTTTGTTCTTAATTTTTCTTAACTCTTCGTAGATAATTAAAATCTAATTAAGAAACAAGTCATCGTGGCTTTAAACTCTTATACGTGGTGAACATTAATGACTTTATTTTCACTGATTTCAGATATTAATGATTATTTTTTAAGATATTCAGATAACACTTTTTTCCCGTTAGAAAAACTTGAAGATCAGTTTTCTACAGTACCAACATCTAATACTTAAGATACGTGAAATTCGTTGGAATAAAGGAAAAAAATTGATTTGAATTAAGATAATTGATATTTAAGCTGTCATAGTTCAATAATTTATTAGTTTTTTATGATGACTAAGATGATTTACAAACAATATATTTATCATAATTTTTTTCTTGATTGATAGTGTCATCTCATCTAATATTTAAATAACATTTTCCTTTAATTTTTTGAGAAACGTATAACCATACATGATAAAACTTGGTCAAAAAGAAGATAAATTTTTTAATTATTAGAAAAAATACAATACACGAGGAGTATGAAATCCCTCAGTCACAAACAAAATCCATTATATTTAAACAAGACTTTTACATTATTAATATTCGTATGTTTGGGATTTTTTAGGTATAAAAATATCAACCTATATAGTAAGATATATTACATATATTATTTGCGAGGAAAACATGATATAATAAAAGTATTTTTTTATGGATTCATTTTTTATTAGAGACAAATATATTTGAGTTGAGTAAAATTAAAATGAATAGTAATTTTATCCAATTATTTAATATATAAAACTATATATCTGCAATTAAAATTCAAAATTGATAAGTTATATATCCACTCAATCCACACGGATAGTATATGTAACAGAAATAATATAAATTTTCTTTCATTGTTAGATAAGATTGAATAGAGTTTGAAAATTTTTAATAAAAGATTATGAAGGAAAGTGAAAGGAAACAAATATAAGGACATTATGTCTTCTTTAGCTTAAATTAACGCAAAATTTAAAAGCAATTTATAGATTCTTTGGAACATTTAATTAAAATACATTTTATTAACCCTTCCCATGTTTTTTCTTTGAATCTACTCTTCACATTCACATGTTGGATCCAAAGTGTTGTAAAGCATATTAAATATATATATTTTAAAGAAATACGTACAAATCTTCTTCAATCCATGCAAAATATCTTCAAGTGTTGTGTTATCTTTATGTATTTTGTCGCATCGATGCTTTGGTTATGAAAACTTATAACTATCTTCAAAGTTAAGAATCATTGAGAATGATAACATGACATATATGTTTAACAATAATATAATGGGGGAAATTCTCTTTTGTAAGAACATGGGTCAAATAATTTTGCATAAAGTAAACAATTGTTGGAATGTGTCTATATATATATATATCAATTATACTATTTACTTATATTTTGAATAACATATGAATCAAAATGAAATATTGTGATAAAATAATATTTAATTTAATTTATTTGTGTGAGATTTTATAAATTGAATTCAACAAACATCAAATTTAATAGTTGAATTGGTTAATTTCGTATTATATATGTAAAGATTATATTTTGTGATAAAAATAGTAAAAGGAAAAGGTTGGACAGAGTGCCCATAAACGCAATTACACTGAAATATATTATAATAGTGAATTGAAGAGGTTCTGGACATAGAATATGACAATAATGTAATGATTCTGAGGCATGCATGGGAGATCAAAGTTCTATAAAAGAATCATTTGGAAGTAAAACTATTTTATTTGTTGACTCCTTCAAAAAGGTTTGCTAGGGTTTATTAACCACACATTCAAAAAGTTAGCAGATTAGATCCCATATAATGGAGACTACTAGAGGAAAATCCACATTCAGTCAGCTCATGAATCAACAAATTAATTCCCATAACTTGTGGTCAATTTTAAGTTCAAAGTTATAGTATTTGTCCTATTTATGTTTTTCGTGCGTGAGCTTTAATTAAATTATCTTTTATCAGGTTCTGTTTATCTACAAAGAATGCACTTTTATACGATACAATGTTTGAGTGCTTTGAGTTTGGTTGGCATTGATTTTACGAGAATTGATCCGTGAAAAGCTTGGAAAACCAGTTTGACAGCATTGCATATAGGTTCATATGAATGCACAATTACTGCAAGGTAATAAAAACACTTCTCTACTCACTTACACACTACACATTATTCATTTCAGAAAATTTCATCAACAATATAGTAATTTTTTTGAAAAATATAATTTCCAGAAACTCTAAAAGCAGTTAACTCTTTAACATTCGTTTTAAATAAACTTCTCTATATCTTCGTTTTAAGCGTTATGTTATATCTAGCTAAAAATCTTACAATATTTGTAGCTTTTGTTATCACATATTTCATTTAATTTTTCATCTCTCCTTTACAATGAAAAAAAAAAAAAAAACTCAAATTTTGTCTTGTTTCGGAAACCACTTTTCTAATAACCAATGTCACTGAATGAAGGATCCTTCCCACGTAATTGGGTTGAAAAGACGTAATCAATTATTTAATTGTATTATATCACCGGTAAATTGTGGGACTCATTGAGTTTAGGGTTCTATTGATGTTGCCAAAAGAAGAAAGACACTTTACATGGTAATCTTGTAGAAATAAAACTCTGTAAAAACTGCATGAAAGTGATTCCTCATTTTCTATTCCTTTCATGTAAAATAATGATTGGCCAATTATTTTTCTATTTTATTGTTTACTATAATCTCTTATGAATTTATACTTATTATAATGTTAATGTTTTATTTTAAAGGATATCAAAGACTTGGTGTGTAAGTTTGATTGGAATGCAAAAATAATACACTAATTTATTTCTTAATATTATAATAATCCATGAAATTCATCCTTAAAATTAATTAAAAATAATTAAGTCTTTAAAATCAAGATTTATTTCTTTCACCATGATTAAATTATTGATAATTTCTAATTTTATGTATCGTTTTATATTGATGGATGATGTATAATTTATTATGTTA